AAAAATGTTTAACAATATCATTTTTTAGACTAATTATTCTTATCTTCTCTCCTTTGTCATACGCTATTGAAGGAGCTTCATAACTCCTACATTTTCTCCTTGCCTTGGACATGATAGCTTTGAAGCAAAAAAGTATACATATCCCATTTCTCCATACGGCACACCAGCTTCACCTTAATTACCTTTGAGATTGCTGTCTCCCTCAACTTGTTTCTATCAAAGACTCCCCAACTCAGAACCAACTGAAAGCTTCCTCCCTTAAATCATTGTTCATCTTTGAGAGAAGTCATCCTTTTTCAGCTGTCGACATCTTGTCATTGCTGTGTACAACCAAGCAACATAGTCTTTTCGTGGTAAAGAAGCAACTCCACCTCTATCTCCACCCTCCTTCCAGCACACAGATATAACTTGCAACAATTTTGCCTCCCTAAGGCAGCAAAATAGGTAATTTTAACTTTTTTTTTTGGAAATCAGGTCTCGGTTTGCTAGTTTGTACTCTGGCCACTTGAGCTCCACATCTTTGAGCTTCATCATGCCACTTTCTTAGCTTTTCATTGCATGCACAGTAAGCTGTCTCTTCAGCAACAGCCTCTCTCCAGCCACACAGTCTGTGTGTTTTCTTCTCCTTTGAGGTTTCTCATGTACTCTGCAGTGTCAGGCTCTTGACCTGCTACAGTCCTTGTCTTTTCTTCTTTCTTATCTTGATCTTTGGGACCTAATAGAGTCTCTTGTGTTCCTAATGTAGAATACTCTCTCTCGGATAAAGATCGAGAATGACATCCGCTGTAAATACCTAAAGAACTTGACCTGCTTTAGATAGTCAGTGCGTTATGATTGATTTGATCTTCTTCAATAACCCTCCTTCTCCGATTTAATGTTTTCCTTTGTTGAAATTTCCGCTGCTAGAATCTGATATGGGTTTGGGAGATAAAATTTCAAGATGACTAAGCTGAAGAAAGAAGGTTGTGGCAAAAAGAAACAGAAAGGTCATTGCTACTGTGTGTGCTCTTAGTGTTTGGTAAGGAGCAGAGTAAGAGAAAATGAGAGAAAAGTTTGGGAGAATAAAGAAATTAGAGTTTTATTTTTATTTAATGATTTAAATATTATTTTATAACAAATAAAAGAAGAAATTGCATATTTCATGTCATAGCAGCCATGCAAGCGTATTTAAAACAAAAAATTGAATCACGTGACCAATCAACGTCCATGTGGCATTAACATAAACGACATTTAATGGTAGTAGTAGGAGGTTTATTTAAACGGTTTTTTGAGTGTGTGGATTCAATTTAAACACAAAAGTACTACTAGGGACCAATTTGAACAAAACTAGATAGTAAAGGAGAGAATCAGATATTTATACCAAAAACTAAAGATGCTACAAATATTTGCCATAAAGTATGTGATAGAATCTTCTTTTGAGAAATTAGCATCAGCACTGATTTTTTTTATCATAAACAATAATGGAAAACCAAACCACTAAACCAAGACCTTTTCTCCGGCTATAATGTAGATAATGATCTTAGATATTCTATTATATTTAAAGCAATTTTTTCAGCAACGACAGATTCATTTGCCAGAAGTTGTACATACCCCGAAAGCAGTAACAAGATCCATAGTTTAGAACGAGGGCAAGAGCAATTATCAAGCAGGCATAAGCACAATAGAATTGGATATCAAGAAAAGAATTTTTTTGGAATAAGGATAAGAAGAAAATAATATATATAAGAACAGAAAATGTAAGCCTTAAT